ATACTGAACATTCATGGACAATGCTGCTGCTAATTGTTGCTTCTCTTACACACATTGTAACCCTGAAAAAAGACTGTCTCTTAAGACTGTACCCTGAGATCTGTGCCACCATAGATATGGTGGAATGAAAATTAAAAGGGGGGATTGTAACAGGGTGGTCCCCAGGAAAGGGGGAGGTTCCAGGTTTCCTCCCTCACCCTAAGGAGGGTAGAACTGAGCAGGGAGAGAAAAAGCTGCAGAGGAGACTGAGGAAGGAAGGAAACAGGAAGGAGAGCCAGGAGGAGACCTGGAGGAGGCATGTGAAGAAACTGCGCTTGCCTTGTGGTCGTGGACTGGGTGGCACAGATGTGCGTGAGACCCGTGGGGAGGTGACAACGGCAGCTTTTATCTTGATTTTGATTTTGCTCTTTTCCCTCCAGACTTGTCTGGATATTTCTGATCCTTTTTTGTGGGTCCCCACTGGAAGGTGCTTTAGACTTGTGGCAGCTTTGGGACCTTGTTCTGGGCCAATCCTGCTTGGGTGGACTTTTACCCACGAGGGGATGGGTAACTTTGGGTACTTGATTTAGAAAGTATATTCTTTGCCTTTCCTGTATTGTTTCCTAATTGTATGAAAGTTCCTTCCCATTAAAGTCTCATGTTTTATGTTGATGTGGCGGATGCCAGAACCTATTTAGAGTAGGCAGGCTTTGGGGGGTCTGGGGTGCACCTCTCCATGCCCTGCAACAATTAGTGCATTTCCCACATAGAATGTAGTCAGAATACTATATCAAGAGTTGCTTGATTTAATTTCTTCTAAATGGTTATATTATTCATTTGATGTAGATGTAGCTTCAATTTTTTTTTTTCTAGTTGTGTCCTATTTTGCTTTTTTCATCCCTCTGGTCTTTATGGATTTATTTTTATTTTTTGACTGTGTATGTACTGACATGGTTTGAGAGTAAAGATTATACAAAAAGATAAACTCAGCTAAATCTTATTCTCTTCCTGGTTCCCTTCCCCCTTGGTGGGAAGCCATGCCATTAATTTTGGATATATCCTTTTTTCCTAGATTTCTTTCTTGTATAATGAAGCAAATATATATATATTCATACATATCCCCCCTCTTTTAATACAAATGTTGCATATTATATACCATCTTCCATCTTGCTTTTTCCACTTAGCAATTCTATTTTAAATATTATTCCAGATCAGTTCATAGAAACCTTTCTAGTTAGTGTTTCTAGTTCACAGTATTTCCCTGTATGTATATGTGATATTCTTAATCATTCTCCTATTTATGAGTAATGGGATTGTGTCCAGTATTTTGCAATTAAATATAATGCCACAACGAAAAAAAAAAATAAAAAAAAATAAAAAGAAGTTCAAGTAAACCAATGTTTTATTTATTTATTTATTTTTAAAAGATTATTTATTTATTTATTTATACAAGCACTAGGTACAGTCAGAAGCGCGGGAGGGTGAGAGAATTCACCAGAGCCAGAGCGGGGAGCAGAGCAGGCAGAATGACCGAAGTACACTGCTGAGGGGAGCAGTGGGTGGCAGGAGAGGTCTGCGCGCCATGTGGGACCCTCCTCCGGTGGCTGGGGAGCAGCTGGGGATTGAACCGGCGCTGCAGAGGCTGCAGGCAGCTTTGCAACCCAGTGCTCAACCGCTGTGCCACCGGGGAGGCCTGTAAACCAATGTTTTAAATGTAAACAAATTAAGAGAAAACATTTTTAAAAGTTCTATCTAACTTAAAAAGTATGTATATATACAATTCAATGACCATTCTCTGTATATTAACATGGTATTGTTGTGAAACTGATAAGGAATATCAGGATCTATTTTATTACAATTTTGTGGAAAATGATGAGATGGAAAGCATGTTGACATGCTATTGATAACAATTTTTTAAAAGATTTATTTATTTATGCACACAAGAGCTGGGGTATAGGCCAGAGATGTGGGGGGTGAGAGGATTCACCAGAGAAGTAGGGAACAGAACAGGTAGATTGACTGAAGTACACTACTAAGGGGAGCAGCAGGCAAGACAGAAGAGGTCTGCTTCGCCGTGTGATTGCTCCGTGGCCAGCCGGGGATCGATCTCGTGCTGCAGAGGCTGTGCATTGCTTCATAGTGCGGTCCTTAACCCCTTGCACCACCAGGGAAGCCCCGATAACAAATTTTATTCTAAGGAAAAAAGCATAACAATAACTTAATTTGCATGTCTCTATTAGTTCTTAGTTTTATAAAATTTATACCATATTCAAACATTAAGAGAAAACATTTTCACATTTGATTTTGTCATTTATTTTTTAATCATGTTATCTCTTCCACTAGAATACTGGGCCCATAATGTAGAATCATATCTATCTTGCCACTGTTGACTCTCCACAACATAAAAACTGTCCATGGGGAGGGGTTAAAATGATATTCTAATGACAGAATAATGGATGAAATAAACTACATGAGATCTGGGAAACCAATAAAAATGAAACCCATCACCAAATCCGAGTTTATAATGATTTATGAATCTGTTTCTTCACTATTCAAGTGTCTCTAAACAAATCTTTACACCCAAGTTCCAAGGATTGCATAGAGGCATAGAGAAAATGCAATCACTAATAGGCTCCAAAGTGTGAAGACACTCAAATATGATACAAATATAGTTTTTCTCCTTTAACATTACTCAGGTGTTGAAAAACACAAACAGTACTCAGGTGTCTCTGAAGTTTTCTCTGTGCAGTTACCCAAGGAAACAGGCTGATCAGAAATACACACATTCCTGCATGGTTTCATTTACATGTAGAAGATAATGAAACACAACAATTGAACAAATAAAACAAAACAAAAACAATGTCCTAGACTATAAGACAAATAGGTCACCAAAGAGAAGGTGGACAGAGGTGGGGGTGGTGGGAAAACTGGAGTTAAGAGGTCATTGTTTGGTGAAGAATGGAAGCTAAACATGTGGGGATGAGCATATTGTAGTATCACAGGTGTTATAATGTCATACACATGAAGACTAGGTAATATTATACATTATTTGAATTGAAATTTTTAAGTAATAAGAAGGAGGTGAGTGTTGTCCTTTTGGAACCCCAGTTCTGCTATCTTTTCTTTTTTTTTTAAATTTTTAAAAAAGATTTGTTTATTAAGCATTCAAGAGCTGGGATGCAGGCCAGAGGGGCAGAGGGTCAGAGGATTCACCAGAGACAGAGTGGGGAGCAGAACAGGCAGATCCACCGAAATACACTGCTGAGGGGAGCAGCAGGTGAGACAGGAGAGGTCTGCTGTGCCATGTGGGTGACTTCCCTGGCCAGGGATCGAACTTGTGCTGCAGTGGCTGGCAATAGCTTCATAGTGCTGAGACTTAACCCCTTGCACCATCGGGAAGGCCCTCTGCTCTCTTTTCTAAGAGCCTTTGATGTCTCAGCACCCATATCCACTCCACCCAATTCCATTAGCAATTCTCTTCATGTCTTTCCAAGCTCCTTGTTGTTACTTGAAAAGAGACAAGGGGAATTTCCTGCCTCCTCACTGACAGTATGTTTGTACTTTTGCTCCTGGTGTCAATACTTCATATCTTTTTAATCACCCTAGAAATTTAGGACATATGCCCTTCTGCTTTCTTTGGTAGTTGATACTGAATTTATTTCATTGGTCCCTTGCTTACTTTTTTATACCTAATGATTGTATCATATTGCTCATGCTCTGCTTTGACCATCTTGTCTGCCTGGGTGTCTGCAGTGAGCATCATGGAACAGATGTTGCTGGGGAGGTAGGTGGGGGTAAAATCTGAAGATGCCTGTATTAATGGAGGAATGTTCCCTGTAGGACAAGGAAGAATCTCAGAATGAAGATTCTTCTTTGTGGATGAATGCATTCAAACACAGGGATTGTATTATGGAACAATAGATAGATTTCCATCATTTTTCTTAGGTACAGAAAAAAATATTCCCAAAGCTTACTGAATATTTACATTTAAAACTATGTAATATAAGGCCTCCCCAGTGGTGCAGTGGTTTGAGCGCAGCACTGTGAAGCTGTCTGTAGCCTCTGCAGCACAAGTTTTATTCCCAGATGGCCAGAGAGATATCCACATGGCGTGACAGACCTCTCTTGTCTCACCTGCTGCTCCCCTCAGCAGTGTTTTCGGTCATCTGCCTGTTGTGCTCCCCACTCTGTTTCTGGTGAATTCTCTCACCCTCCTGTGCCTCTGGCCTGTACCCCAGTTCTTGTATAAATAAACAAATCTTAAAAAAAAATAAAACTATGTAATATAAACTTTGGAGCATTTTTAAATAATGCCTTAACAACTCTCATACGATTAAACATGAGATAGATGCATAATAACTGTCAATGGAGAGATGAAAAACTTGTATTATTGGAGTTCAAAGAGTAGATTTGTATCCAAATAAACGTGGTTACATGTGTGTATATGTTATGCATGTGCACACACATAAAATGATAAACAACTTTATTTGCAATACCCAGTATTCTAGGAATAATTTCTTCCATGACCTTATTAGAAAACTCATATTTTGTAGGAAAGGTTTTGCATAATGTATGGATAAGTCCCTGTGCAGGCCTAGCTTTGAAGTGTTTGAAAGATTCTGTTGCCTGCTACATGTGTTAGAATTTTATAATTTTACTTATCCTGAACTCAAGTTGGCAGATTCAAATAATGAGAAAACAGAAGTGAGGCTCATGGAATTGCATATCTCTTGATTTGCATGTTAGCAAATGAGAATGCAGCTTTCCTTCATCATCAGTTATAAAAGACTTTAGAGTTCAGCTGAGTTGTCTAGAGAACTACAAAGATTTTCCAGGGGGAAAGCCATAAATGCATCCATTAGCAAATCTTGATGGTTGCTGATTTGACAAGCCCAACACCATGTTTTACAAGAGAGAATACGGTTGTGTTTTCAAGAATCAGATATACATAGCATTTGAGATGAATGAATGAAGAAATCTTCAGCAGCGATAGTAGACTTTGGAGTATTCTTTTCCAGACAATGGTCAGCATCTTCGACAGCACACTTATGGTCATTCTAATTGCCGAATTTGTAATTGGCAAGCTAGGAAACAGCTTCATAGCCGTGGTAAACTGCATTGACTGGGTCAAGGGAAGAAAGATCTCTTTCACAGACGGAATTCTCACTGCTCTGGCGGTCTCCAGAATTGGTTTGCTCTGGGTAATATTAATAAATTCGTATATATGCATGTTTAATTTAGCTATTTTTATGACTGGAAAAATGTTAATTATAGTTTATATCTTCTGGACTGTGAGCAATCATTTCAGTCTTTGGCTTGCTACAAGCCTCAGCATCTTTTATTTTCTCAAGATAGCCAATTTTTCTGACTCTATTTTTCTCTATCTCAAGTGGAGAGTTAAAAAGGTGGTCTCACTGACCATGTTGGTGACCTTGGTCTTATTGATTCTTAATCTTGCACTGGTCAGCACACATATGAATGCCTGGTATGGTGAATATAAAAGAAACATGACTTGTAGTTCCAGGATGAAGGACTTTGCCCAATTTACCAACCATCTTGTATTTACAAACACCCTGTTCACGTTCGTGCCCTTTGCAGTGACCCTGACAGTTTTTCTCCTGCTAATCTTCTCCATGGGGAAGCATCTCAGGAGAGTACAACTCAATGCCAAGGGCTCCAAAGATGTCAGCAGCAAGGCCCACATAAAAGCCTTGCAAAGTGTGGTAACCTTTCTCGTGCTCTATGCCATTTTCTTTCTGTCTCTTTCCATGTCATTTTGGAGCTTGGAGCTTCCAGACAGAAATCGGATCACTATGTTTTGCCAAGATATTGGAGTTGTTTATCCTTCAGGTCACCCCTATGTTCTGATTCTGGGAAACCATAAGCTGAGACAGGCCTTTCACTCAATGCTGGGGTGGCTGAGGTTCAGGTTCAAAGATGGGGAACCCTGAGACCCATAGACCAGAAAGGAGCTCATCTTGCACATCCTAGTGGAAAATCAGTTGATAAGGAATTTTTATGACATAAATTTATACTTCCCCACTATTTTTCCATTGTGTGTAATATCTGAATGTTACAAAGTATGTTTGGAACAAACATTATTTAAATATTATGACAGCTGAGCATAGTGTATGTCATTTATATTAATACACAATACACAAGAGGAAGTGGATGTGAACATTTTCAATGTAAGAACAATTTACCATAAGAAATAATATGCATTTTGTGTTAACCATTAATCTTTTTGCAATTTTAAATTGAGAAATGTATAATAAATTGTGTATATGTATGTAAAACATAGTTACTAAAAATAGAATGTTATAGAATGGCACGTATCAAAAAAACAAGCAACAACAAATGTTGGCGAGGATGTGGTGAAAAAGAAACTCTCCTACATTGCTGGTGGGAGTGCTAACTGTTCCAACCACTGTGGAAAGCTGTCTGGAGGTTCCTCAGTCTACTAAAATTGGAGCTACCATATGACCTGGCAATTCCACTACTAGGGATCTACCCAAAGGACACAAAAATATTGATTCAAAAGAATACCTGTTCCCCTATGTTTATTGCAGCACTATTTACAATAGGTAAAACCTGGAAACAACCCAAATGCCCAAAAATAGATGACTGGATCAAGAAGATGTGGCACATATACACCATGGAATTTATTCAGCAATCAAAAAAAATAAACTGATGCCATTCGCAGCAATGTGGGTGGAACTAGAAGGAATTATGCTCAGTGAAATAAGCCAAAAGGGAAAAGAAAAATATTGGATGGTTTCACTTATAGCAGGAATATAGGGAAACCAAATAAGATATCAGTGCAAAAAAAAAAAAAACCAGTACAAAACACAACAAAGCAAAAATGGGCAATTATAAACCAGAGACATCCTGCAGGGGAGGAGGAGGAAGAGAGATAAGAAGGAGGGAGGGAGGAGCACAGGGGACTGAGGTGATGGTGCACGGGTGCTTTGGGGAAGGAAATTCTATGGGGACTACACCTGAGGGGGAGGGGAAGCAAATATTGTTTAAAAATGAACAGTGATGTAAAAAAATAAAAATATTAATATAAAAAAATAGAATGTTATACTTTCGTGTATATAAAATGAATTCCTAATCTAGGGTACATACATAAATTTCAGATTAAAAATGAAGAATAAACTATAAACTTGCAAATTACATACACTAAATCCATTGTCTCAAATGCAAGTCCCAATTTACAAATGATTTCTAGAAGTTCCTTAGCTGGTTTGTTCCAACACCTTTTCTGTATTATTAGTTTCACATTCTTGGACTGCGTTTTTATCATTATTAAGAACATGTAATTTATATTCAGAAATAAATTATATTTTCCAATGTAGTTCTTAAATATATAACAATACATTTTATTATTATTTTAAAAAATTGTATTGATGTTACATTGCATTATATTATAAAAGATTCAGGTGTGCATCATTCTAAATCAACATTTTTATGCAGTATATGCAGTATACACATGCGTTTATTTTTTAATGTATATATTTAAAAATAGTTTTTAACTTGTAAAACAATAGTTTAATTTTAATGTATAAGTCTACCAAATATTGACTGGTGCTAACCTATTAATCTCTTTTTGGGAGATAGGTGTTTTGTTATATCTTATTTTATGACATACTTCTATTTTATTGGTAAGTGGAAAGCAACCAGGACATAGGAACAGAAATGTAGAGTCACTCCTGAGTAACCAAGACAGAATTAGCATGAATTTTGAATGTGTATATGTTGTTAATATTGGTTCTATAGCAGAAATGAAAACTAAATATCAAAGGTGAAAATTTAGAATAAACTAAATCAAATGGAGTAAAGGTGAGGAAAAAGGATCTTTCTGTCCCTTACTGTTAATCCTGGGTGCTATAGGATCTTGTGTGTTTTTAGAAATGAAGAATTCTTTACTTAGGGCTTTTATTCATAAAGAAATCTCTTCAAAGTACAGACTTTGTGCTTGAAATAAATTTTCTTGTTCTCCTAAAGTCACTCTTTCATGTATGCATTGAAAAATATGTATTGAACATCTGTTCTATGTGTCTTGAATACATTTGAAAAAGAGACACTAGGTATAAAGCAAAATAAAATAAAATGTGTCCGTAATGAATAGGTAGCCACTAAAACCAGGAGGTTACAATATTCGGGCACCAGGCAGTGTGTATATTTCGTACTTGCTATTCCCCCTCTGTGCAAGCTACATGTCTCATATTAAGAAGCCGAGCTGCTGAGATATTAAGTGATATTCCCAGTGGTGCATGAAGGTGCAAGCGCAGAGCGAGAGTAATAAACCCAGCAGAGCAGGGATTTTCTCCAGACTTAAACAGCAATGGAAAGAGGCTGCCCACAGCCACATCTGAAATCTGGTTGGAAAAAAAAAAAAAAAACAGGTAAAATATATAATTTCTATGTTTACATTAAATGCTCTTATTTTCCTATATTTGGCCCCTGGTTTCTGTGTCTCCTGAAAGGTCCTTGTTTTTGCTTATTTGTTTGTTGTGAGTTAGAAGCCAGTTGCCTTACTAAACTGTCACGTGGACTCTTTCAGAAAGCTCCTTCTCTTGTCTTTTGCAGATAGAAAATGGCATCATCTGCATATAATGACAATTTTACCTCTTTTCAATTTTACTTCTTTTCATTTGAATGTTTTCGATTTGGGTGTAGATTCCTCTAGTGAACTGACTTTCAAATTGTCAAGCAATGGTGATGATAATTGGCATCTTTGGAAATGGAAGATTTTTCTTGGTGTTTCACCAAAAAGCATAATACTGACTTTACTTTGGGGTAAATAATTCAAAAAATAATCAGCAGAGAGGATTTTTTCTGCTCCTATCTGTGTGCGGTACTGTAATAAAACCTGCATGAAAAGATCAAATGTGTGTTTTCTTAGCAGATGTTTATTTCTGATGCCACCATCAACCCCTTCCCCCTCCCTTAACACATTGAATTTTATTAGAAATTGTTTTCCAAGTTCCCAGGAATGCAGGTGGAGCCTGAGTTAATCCTGAGGAGGGGATGGGGGAAGAGAGAACAAAGGATGGTTAGAGTTTAATTCCACTTATTTCTAATTTTTAGTGTAGGGAAGGTTTCTTTTTGTTATTACAGAATGAAGGGGATCTGGCTACAATAGATCAAGTGAAGTTAATAATTCTAAAGAGATTGTGAATAACTACATTAAATTTTATATGGAGAGTCCTATACCAATAGACAATATACAATCATTTCACTTTTAACTTTTGTTAATAGAAACACTTAATTTTGTAAACATAGATCATGAAATAGGCCCAAGAAATTTTAATAAATGAAAAAAACATGGCATCACACAAAATATATTCTCTTATCACCACATTTCAATATTTTTACAAAGTAATAATAGCAATATAATGATAATTATACTATTCCATGATTTGTACATTACTAACTAATTCAATCATAAATAAGACAAAAAAGATGCTGGGGTCAATCCAAAACTTAGAACTAAACAAGAACAAAAACATTATCCACATGGAAGTTTGAAAATTTCAGCTAAGGCTGGAAAATTTATAACTAAAATGCATTTATTATAAAAATGTTTAAAAAGATGAATGGACCAATTATTTAACTCAAAAAGAGAGAAATGCTGAGAGATTAGTGAGTATCTGTGGAATCTAACCAAATGCTATAACACAGTGGTAAGGAAAGGCTAGCTCATGGGAGCATGAAGTGGAAAGAAACAGATTCTGAATAAACATGTTCCAAGACAAATAGACTGCAGCAAATTCTCAAACACTAAGCAAGATAAGCAATACCAGGCAGGAAGGTTTTTTCCTAAATACACTTTGGTTTGAATAACATTAAGGATATAGCAGAAAATAAGTGACTCTGATTCATATTCCAAGTCTTCATCAATATTTAATTTAATATTGGGCAAAATATTGATGGTAGATGTAAGATGATCTTTCAGTTTATCTTCTTTTTATTTTGCATAAAAGAACTGGGGTACACCCCAGAGGTGTGGGGGGTGAGAGGATTCACCAGAGGCAGCAGACAGCAGGGAGCAGATCAGGCAGATCCACTGAAATACACTGCTGAGGGGAGCAGCAGTTAAGATAGGAGAGGTCTGCTGTGCCATGTGGGTCAGCTCCCTGGCTGGGAATAGAACTCAGGCCATAGCTAGGTTAAGTCTCAGCACCAGGGAGGCCCCCAACCTTTCAATTTCTATGCTAAGTGAATTTACATTAAATAGAAATAACCAGTCAAAAATAAAAGATAGAAATCAATGACAAAATAATCTTTAAAAAATAGAAAGAAGCTAAGAGAAGAGTGTTTAGTTTTACTGGACAGTGAGACTCTGGAACAACACGTATTTGAACTACATGGGGATTTTTTGGTCAATAAACACAGTACTGTACTATTAATGCGTTTTCCTTATCATTTCCTTCATATCATATTGTTTCACTAGCTTACTTTATTCTAACAATACAGTATATGATACATATAACATGCAAGATAAGTGTTAACAACTGCTTATGTTATCAGTAAGGCTTCCAGTCAACAACAGGATATCAGTAGTTAAGTTCTGGGGAACCAAAAGTTATCTGAGGATTTTTGTCTGGGAGAGAGTCATCTTGCTAAACTCTGAGTTGGTTAGGTCAGTTGTATATAGAAAACCCTACTCAGTGCTCTATAGGTATTATTATGCTTAATCCTGAAAAAAAATCATACAAGTTTGGCACATAAGGAAACTAGAAGTAAAAAAAAAAAAGATGAAGATCCTTCTGTAAGGTCACACAGCCAGAAAATGGGAAAAAATCAAAATGCTAGGACAAGCAATCAGATTTGTAACCTTGTGTTGTTAACTCCTTTATAATATGCATATAATAATGAAAGAATTAATGACATAGAAAACTAAAATAAAATATAGATGAGGGTAGGTTGGCGTCTGGTGTGGGCC